CTGGGAGCTGGGGTTTGGTCTGCCCCGTGTCTGGTGGGAGATGGCCTCCAGGAGCCAAAACATCAGGCAGGAGACATTGCTTGGGGAAGGGAGAAGGTTGTCCCACATCTGCTCATGGCAGCACATCACCAGGGAGAGAACCACGACATGGGCTGCCATCCTCACGGTTTGCAGAGGGAACTCATCCTGCTCCTCATGTGCCTGGCAGCTCTGCCTGCCCAGTGGGCTCCTCCCCAGCCCTGCTCCCCAGCCCCGTGCTGCTGAGCTGCTCTGAGCTCCTCCAGCTTCCCCAGCACTGCTCTTGGGCCCCATCAGGAATGTGAAGCCACTATCTTTAGGAGAGAAAAACAAACACTGGGAGCTGATTTGCCAAGGAAATAATCAGAAAGGAGCCAAACCTACCACAGTGCATTAAACTGGAGATCAGCTCCGGGAGTGAGTGCTGATTGACTGCATGGCGTTGGTCCAGCTAAGGCAATAGTACAAGCAGAAGTGTGATGCAAGGAGGCTGCCTGGCCTCAGAGCAGCAGCAGCTCTTGTCTGGCTGTTCTGTGGGGCAGCTCAGCTGTTCTTAGAAAAACAAAGGGTTCTTCATGCGATGAGTGCGGTGTGCTGGAATTTCTGCAATGCAGAAACCGGGGGCTGATTTCTAGGAAGCAGATTAGGAAGGAATTTTTTTGTTGCTCGGCAGTGGTTGGGGCAGACGAGGAGCAGGGGATGCATGGACTGAAGGCTGCACCCACCCAGCGTGGGGGGAGAGGAAAGCAGATGCCATCAGCATCACCGCCATTAGGACAAAGCCCTTTGAACCCGCTGGTGTCAGCCCCCACACTCCATCCCTGTGGGTTCTGAGTGCAGAATTGTCCCTGCTTAGCTCTGGGCTGCTGTATCCCACTGCCAGCCCATCTGTCGGATACCCACTGTGAGCCATGGGATGCACAGATCCACGTCAGCCTGGATCCCAACCCCATCCCAACCCCATCCCATCCCTATCCAGGGGATGGGGAGCATACAGTGAGCACAAGACCCTGCCAGCCCTCCTTAGATGGCCACATGCTTCCTTCCCACCTCCTCCTGCCAGCAGTGCGTGGGGTTGCCTGCGGCCACGCAGGAGGAGCACCATATTTAGTAATAGGGCTGAGGAACGCTGCCTCTCACCCCAGGACTGAGTGCACTGGGGGAGCGCTGCGCTGTGTTTGCATTCCTGTGATATTGGTAAAGGGCAAGGAGCTTTCCTGCTGGCAAGGAGTGAAACGGGCTGCTGGGAGCGTCGACATTTAAGGCGTGTGAGCAGGATGGGGATGGCTGGGGTGCAGCTGTAAAACAGGACCTGTTTTGGCACTGGCTGCAGTGCTGTGGACTCTGCCTTGGGCGTCATGCTCCGAACGGGGCAGGTAAACACTGGAGATTGCTGTGAGCCTCATTTGTTTGCTTCCAGGAAGGGCTGGGAGCTGACGTGGAGGATGAGATCAGAATGGGGCAGGAGCCCAAGTGGTCTGAGCACAGCGCCGGGGTCCCAGGCCCTGCTGCTGTCCCCATCTTATGTCCCACACTGACCCCATGGCCGGGACACCCACCTGGCTGGCAGTGCTGAGTGTGCCCTGCACACACCCCACTCGTGGCACAGACCTGGGGTGGCACACTGACATGTATATCTGTGTGATTTGGGGGAAATTTAGGATCTGTGCCCTGTCCTGGCTCCAAAACTGCTCCCACCCAGGGTGCCGGCAGCAGTGAGGTTAACAGAGCTGCTGCCTTATGTATGATCAGCCTTGTAGCCTTGGTGGTTGCTTCCTTTTAAAGCCAGACAATGTTCTTGTTGTGATCCTTATCTGCAGCCGTTTTGCATGCACTCCCTTTGAACACTGATCTTGTCTGGGGTTTCCTTGCTCCTTGAAAGCCGAGCTGTTCTATCCCATGTGAGGACTTGTTCTCTGCAGCTAATGAGCAGATCTGGATGCACTGCTGACAGGGCCCTCCCTCTCTTCCAGTGGTCTGTAAGAAGAACTTGGACAGCACCACTGTTGCTGTGCACGGAGATGAGATCTACTGCAAGTCCTGCTATGGCAAGAAGTACGGCCCCAAGGGCTATGGGTACGGGATGGGCGCCGGCACCCTGAGCACCGACAAGGGCGAGTCTCTGGGAATCAAATACGAAGAGTGAGTTGAAGTCTTGTTTTGAAATCGGGGATGTTGTGTGCACCTTCTCCCTCACTTCTGTCCAGACGTGCTCGGCTGTGCCGCCCTGCAAAGCCCACTGAGTGTCCAGCAGTCCCCAAGCTGGAGAGTGTCGTGGATTCCCTGCTTCAGGGGGGACTTCCCATGTGCTGGGCATGCTGCATGGCTGGCAATAGCCCACATCTGCCCTGATGTTCTCAGTGGGATGAGGGCTTCATGGGCACGTCCCCATTGCCCAGCCCTGCTGCCCATCCCATCCCAGTGCACAGCTGTGGGGCTGCAGTTTCCATGGGGGTCAACGCCATCCTGACAGCCCCTCCGAAACCAGGCTGGGATTTGCATTCCCACAGCTCTCCCCTCCTCCTTCCCGTTCCTGCACCCTGTTAATGAGCTCCCTCCTGTCCACAGGGGCCAATCCCACCGACCCACCAACCCGAACGCGTCCAGAATGGCCCAGAAGGTCGGCGGCTCTGATGGGTGCCCGCGCTGCGGCCAGGCGGTGTATGCAGCCGAGAAGGTGATTGGAGCTGGAAAGGTACGGAGGGGATGGATGGGGCACACGCACACCTGGAACCCTGGCACCTAACGGGGAGCTTTACCACGATCCTCCTCATCCCCTCCTGTGGCCCCATCCCTGCCCAGCTCTGAACCCAAGCATGGTCCAGGCTCAGCTCTGTGCTGGGGGGTCAGGATGGGGGGAAGGTCTCAGCCATGGGGCCGTGCTGCTGGCACTGGTGCTGCCCCACACATCGACCCCTGCACTTCATCCTTCCCTTAGTTGGTGTTCATCCCCAGAGCACAGAAGGGAGGCGTGGAGTCACAGGAGCCTCCAGCACTGTACCGAGGCTCCAGCAGGGTCTGTGAGGGATGTGTCACATTTTGGTTATCCTCAAAATCCCAGCGCTGGCTCTTGGCCTCCCGGTGTTGTCGATGTTTACAGGGACCCAAATCTGGCAAAGCAATTGTGCTCGAGAAAAGCAGAGAGGATTCCAGAGCATGTATTCAGTGTGCTAATGTTTGCTGGATGACTCTCAGCTACCTCCTCCCCCAGCCCTAATTTCACATTTTCTTCCAAAAAAGGTTTGATGTTTTCCAAAGCGTTTATTTAAATTCCTCGGTGAGGGCTCTGGCTGCTCTGTGCTGCTCGGGGCCGTGAGCTCATCTGTCCCCGGAGGACTGGCAGGGCTGGGGGAGCTTTATTTCTGAACGCTGGCTGATTCCTGCATTCTTAGTGTCTATTTGCTGCCTTAGAGCTGGAGTTGTTTTCCCCCCACCTGGGCTAAGGTGCAGCAGGTCCTGGCGCATAACCCAGGGGATTTACTGTTGTGTTTTATGAGGAGGGTGATTGCTTCTCACCCACTGCATTGTGCAAGTGACTGCTGGGGGGTGGGGGTGGTAAAGGCTCGTTTTAGGAGCCAATGTTTCCCCTTTGTGTCTTCACCATGGGGCAGGAGGGCTTTGCTGTGCTGAGGGAGGGGAGGAGGGCTCTTTCCAGACTTTCCATCAGCAAACCCCTTTGTTGATGGCTTTGGGTCAGAACCAGGGCCTCCAGAGGGATCCCACCTGGTACCAAAGCTTCGCTGTCTCGTCTCCATTACCATCTGACTGGGTTCCTCTCCTGTCCCACAGTCCTGGCACAAGTCCTGCTTCCGCTGCGCCAAGTGTGGCAAGAGCCTGGAGTCCACCACCCTGGCAGACAAAGACGGGGAGATCTACTGCAAAGGTGTGTGCCACGTCCCCTGCCTTGTGGGGCTGTTGCAGGGGGGTCCCTGCGCTCAGGTCCCCTCCAGTTGTCCTGGCTGCTGGGCCTGGAGGTGCGAGAATGGGGATGAGGCAGGGGTCCGGGAGATGGTGACCCTGCAGCTGCTCTGGTGGGCGTTGCAGACATGGCAAACCCTGCTGTGCTTCAGGAGAAGAACCGCTACGGTGCCCTCGTGCCACTGTCCTAATGTTACTCTTCCTCTCCTCTCTCTGCAGGTTGCTACGCCAAGAACTTTGGGCCCAAAGGCTTTGGCTTCGGGCAGGGGGCCGGGGCACTCATCCACTCGCAGTGAGGCACCAGGAGCCGGGCTCTGCTCCTCCTGGGCTCCTGCAGCCCAGCCCTGGGCTTCCGCACACCGCAGCGAGCTCCCTCACCTCCTCCATCCCCGCCTGCTGCTTTGCGGCACCAGCGCCTTCCCCTGCCCCGACCCAGCGCTCCCCGAAGCTGCGGGAGCCCCATTGCCACCACGGGTCCCTTGGCACGGGCACACAGCTCGCTCCCACCCGCAGTGAGGCTCCCAGCGTTCCGCTCCGCGTCGCCCGTCCCGCCGGGATGAGCCGCGCTGCGCCGTGTCACCGAGCAAGGAATAAACATCAAAGCTGACCCAAGGCATTGCCCGAGGGGTTGTTCCCCAGGAGCTCAGGATGGAGCGGGAGGACGGGAAGCGGCGCTGTTGCGGCTTGCAATTAAAGCAGAGGGGCTCCCCCTGTAGCTCTGCAGCCCCCTCTGCCCTCCCCTCGTGTGACCATTTCCAAAGCAGCGTTTCCTTCCTGCACTTCGTGTGGGTGCTGCCATGCGCACACCGCGTCCAAACCCATCAGTGCTGCTCCGTGGCGCTGCTCCAGGCAGCCGTGCCCAGCAGTGCTAACAGCTCAGAGCTTTTCACCTACTCCCGGGTTGGGTATTTTTTTTTGCTGGATTCTGATCCGCCAGCTTGGCAGCTCTCCAGGTTTAATTTGTTTTCACTGAAACACTTCGCTTTCTCCGTGTGCTTCTCTCTTTTGACCGGCGTGAGATCCTCACAGATCAGCCTCGCCGTCTGCCCTTCTCAATCTGCAGTGGGACGGCTGCAACTGCTTCCCTCTGCTGGCTGCTGCTCCCCGGGCACGGCTCCGGACAGACAGACGGATGTGTGCACATCTGTACCCATGCACTGCCCAACGCGCTGCATCCACGGCACCCAGCCCTGATGGCAGCTTGGGGGCTGCAGCTGTGGATTGGGGATGGGGTACCCAACACTGCCCCAGAGAGATGCCCTGGGATGGTGGGGACAGAGCTGCAGCATCAAGCTCTGTTGGCTCAGCAGAATGAGACCCTTCTCTGGGTCTGGGTTCGTCACCAGAGGACAGAGGGGAGGTGACAGGCTTTGCTGAAGCTCCGTGACCTCATGGCTGTGGGAAAGTGATTTTCCCATGGTGGCGATGCAGTGAGCAGCCCCAGCTGGTGAGGGAAGAGACCGCGATGTTGGTGGCCCAGCAGTGTCACTGACATCCCCACCTGCTGGAGCAGAGCTGGAAGGGACAGCCCAGTCTGCTCCCTTCCAAATTCCTGGGGTACACCAACCCTGAGTGCGTGCCCCTTGCAGGGACCCACCTGCTCCAGAGCCCCGTGGGGACCGAGCTGACCCCCATCTGTGCCCAACATCCCAAACTGGGGCTGCTGGGACAGCCGGGACCGGTGCCAGCATGGTGATGTTGGCCTCGGGGAGCACGAACCAGTTCCTGACTGCACAGCGAGCCCTGCCCTGTTAATGAGGGATAATGAGGTGCCTCTCCTGGTGCTGCAGACTTGCCCCCTGGCCATGCTGGCTGCCAGCGCTGCCCCCAGCAGGCATCAGCCCCAGACGGTGACCCCAGTGCAGCTCTGCGGGGTTTTGTCCCCTTTCTCTGACTTTTTTTAAAATTTTGCTGAGCGAAGGGCTCTGCACACTCAGCACCTCTGGGTTCATCCCCCAACCCGGGATGCTGCGACTGTCGCTCTGTTCAGCAGCTCATGGCCAGCGCCATGACCCCAGTTGTCCCCACAGGCACAGCACAGCAGGGCCAGCTTCTGCCAGGGGCTGGCATGGGAACAGACGGAGCTGTCATGGTCGGGAACGAGACAGGCTGGAAAGGCGCCGGTGTTTTGCTGCTGGGAAAGGAGGACTCTGGCAGGACTGGGCTGCGCCACACAGCCCCATCCCTGCTCAGTGCGGTCACATGGAGCTGGAGATGCTGTCTTCACTGTGGGACAGACTGGGGACACCAAGTCCTTGGGGAGGAGGGGGGGGGAATGGGGGCACAGGAGCTCTGTGCTGGATGCTGAGGGATTGGAGCAGCTCCCTTGGGTGCAGGGCTGATGGGTGCACAGCCACCTCGGGATGGTGGCATGGACATTTCCATCTGCGGATGTTCCCCTCCCGGCTCCCTCCCCATGGTCCCTTCATGGTTGGTGCTGCACCCACAGCATCGTGCCCAGGCAGCACTGCATCCTGTAGCCCCACGCTTAAGACCCACAGATCTCTTCTACAGCTTCTACTGCACCCCACAGCCCTCTATCCTGGCTGCTTCTGAACCCCATAGCCCCCTGCCCCAGATAGCCCCGCACCCACAGCCCTCTGTCCTTATTGGTGCTGCTCCCCAGAATCCCACTGCACCCCACAGCCCCTTCCTGGCTTAGAAGTGCCCCCAGAGCCCCCCCTGCCCAGCTGGCACTGCACCCCATAGCTCCACATGCGGGTGCCGTTGCCCTCCACAGCCTTGCAACCATCCCATGCTGCACCCCTGCAGCCCCAGCACTGCAGCTCCATGCCTTGCCGTCTCCCTGCCGTGCCTTTGCCGACGCCGTGCCCTGGGCTGTTTGCACGGGGCCCCAGGGCCGGACCCGCCCGCAGGCACCCCGACGGCACCGCGCAGGTGGGTGCAGCGGGGCGGCATCGGGCCCGGCCGGGCTTCGCCTGGGCGTGAAGGGCGCTGCACGGCGCTGCACGGCGCTGCACGGCAGGAGGGGCCAGGCGAGGCGGGGATGGAATGCAAGTGGGAGAGCGGCCGGGCGTGTGGCAACAGATCCTGGGGAGCGCGGAGCCGGGGATCCCACACGCTGCGTGGGGCAGGACGCCCAGCTCAGCCGTAGGGACGGCGGAATGGGGCGTCCCGTCGCTGCCGCCCCGCTGTGAGAACCGGCGGGGGGCACCGAGCTGCGGGGTCCCGACGGCCGCGGGGGGAGGGGTGGAAATCCCCGGCGGGGGATGCGCGGCTGCGGGAGCCGAGGAGCCGCCATGACCCCCGAGAAGGTGCTGCGGGAAGGGGTGCTGGAGAAGCGCAGCGGGGGGCTGCTGCAGCTCTGGAAGAAGAAGCGGTGCCTGCTGACCGAGAAGGGGCTGCAGCTCTTCGAGCCCAAGGGCTCGCGTCGAAAGGAGCTGAGCTTCGCCCGCATGAAGGCGGTGGAGTGCGTGGAGTGGAAGGAGCGGCACATCTACTTCACGGTGGTGATGGACGACAGCCACGAGATCGACTTCCGCTGCGCCCAGGAGGACCCGGGCTGGAACGCCGCCATCACCATGGGCCTCGTCCGCTTCAAGAACCAGCAGGCCATCCAGGTGGTGCGGGCACGGCACAGCTGCAGGGCAGGTAACGGCCCCGCTGTGCTCGGGGCGTGGGGAACCGGTGGTGGGATCCTGCCCCGAGGTGCTCCGGTGTCCCCGCGGCCCCAGGATGGGCGGAGGTCCCGTGGCTGGGCTGCTCCTCTCCTGGCTCTGCATCGCGTGCCCCCCTGCCCTGGCCGGGCTCTGCTTCCTGCCGTGCAGCCCCCTCCCCCCCCTCAGATTTCAACCCCAGGAGAGGGACGGACACACCAACGTTGTGTCCAGAAAGACACGAGGTGGGCTCTGCCTTCTGGCACGTGGGATGGGGGTGACACCACGCTCCCCAGGGCTGACCCCGCTGCTGCCCAGCACGGGTGGCTGAGCAGTGCTTCTCTCCGCAGTGGTGCAGTACGACGCAGCTGCAGTGGGACAGCGCGCGGCTGTGCAGCATCCCCGGAGCAGGATGGAGACGGCGCTCAGCTCAGTGGGAGGAGGGGAGAATAGGATCCCAGCCGGCAACTGAGCCCTCGGGGCTCCCCAGGAAGGCCAGTGCAGGCACCGGCCCCAGTGCCGTGGGGCAGGACAGTGAGGCACCAGGGCATGGCTGCGGGGCTCCGGCTGCGCCCGCTTGGACCGATGGGGCAGAGGGCACAGCCAGGGCCACACCAGGGGCTCCCGAAGGTGATGGATGTGGCCAGGCCCATGGCGGACTGGTGGAGACCCCCGGGCCTCTCCTGCAGGACAGGGGATGGGATGGGTGAGGCCGACCTGAAGGAAGCAGCGCGGTGCTGAGCCATGGGACATCGGATGTGGATGGGGACACAAACCCCCTGAGACCCCGCATGGTGGAAGGACTGGAGAGGGGACCCCTCGGTCACCATGCCGGGATGGTGCGGTGACACGGCTGTGCCGCTGGATGCTGCCCTGGGGATGGCAATGTGACACTGTGGCCCCCAACTCCTCGTACTGACTGTACCCCCAACATGTCCTTCTGCTGCTTTGTTCTTTTTGCTTTCTTTTGCGGGACCACACAGTATATGGGAGAACACTAACCCTGCACAGAGCTTCACAGATTGTACATAGACATCCCCTTAAATCTGCCAGCATCCCACAGCCAGGCTCCTGTGCCCCCCACCCTGCTGTCCCCGGCTGTTCCCCTGGTGGCTGGGGTTGGGTTAGGGTCAGGGTTAGGGTCAGGTCTTGCTGCCAGGCGGTGCAGGCAGGACAGCAGCAGGGGAAGGGATCCCTCACAATGGGGCTGTGCCCGGACAGGCTGTGCTGATGTGAGTGCCCGGAGCTGCAGAGCTCCACAAGCTGCAGCCTGAGCCCCACAGCCCGGGGCTGTGCAGATCTGCTGGGAGCACACCCGGCTGCGTGGGAACAGCACAGCACAGTGGCCCTCTGGCCCGGCCCTGTGCCAAACCAGCTCTGGGTGTTTCTGGGGAGGGACGGTGGCACAGTCAGTGCCTGCTTGTCATGCACCGTGCCCCTTCCAAGCAGATCTTGGATGGATTTCCACCCATCTGCCTCTCTCTGGTATTAAGAATTGGGTTTTTTAATAGGGTGTGCAGGGGTGAGCTGGGGGCACGCTGTGTGCACGCAGACCCACACGCATGGAGCACAGGGCAGCAGCAGCACAGGTGTGATTCCTGCAGGAAGGTTCTCAGTGGGTTTGCAGGGGGAAGCTCCTTCTGAGGAGCCCCATGAGCTCTGCAGCAGTCTAAGGATGCAAGGACTTCAAGGGGTGCTTCCAGATCAGCCCAAGGACACACAGGAAGCTTCTCTAATGCTGTAGGAGGTAGAGAAACCATAGCAGAGGGGTGAGAACCACACAGCCCCTGCAGCACTGGGACCCCGGGGGCACTGAGCACAGCTGCAGGTGGGCGCTGAGCCCCGGGATGGAGCAGGGTGCCTGGGGCTGCCTGAGTTCAAAGCCTGAAAATCCAGCTGTGCAACTCTGTCCTGGGTTGGCACCCACGGTGCTGCGCTCAGCCCCTCGTGCATCCTGCCCTTAGACCCTTACAGCCCTCCTTTGGATGCTCTCTGATAGCTCTGCTCCGATTCCATGCCTGGAGGTGATGCCCCCAGGTCTCTGAGCTGTCCCACCCCTTCCCACTCAGCCCACAGGGTCTGCCCCCCCCCCAGCCCTGCAGTGCCCTCAATGTTTGGGGTTGGCTCTGAGCGTTGGGATGGGAATGGCTGTGTTTGGGGTGTGAGGTCCCAGGGGACAGCAGAGGCTCAGCTGTTGTTTCTAACTCTGTCCTGGCTGCCCTGGGAAGCCCGCAGGCTCTGTAATCACCTCTGGGGTCAATGGAAAGGGGTACAGTTCCTGGTAGAGGGCAAGAATGGATGAGTGGGATGGCCCCAGGGCCAAGAGTTGGGGATGGGACCCACCAGCATTGCTGGAAAGCCACGTCAGGGGCAGCAGCTTTGTGTGGGGTGTCCAAACCACTTGTAGGGGTCAGATGTCTTGAATTTGGGGCTCTGACACCTTCAGGATGTGGCACAGAAGGATATGGTCAGTGGGTATGGTGGGGATGGGTTGGGTTGGACTTGGGCGTCTCAGAGGTCTTCTCCAGCATTAATGATTCCCGGGGTCCAACCTCCCCATACAGCTCTGGGAATTCAGTGTTGGCATCCATCTCCTCAGAGACAGCCCAGAACAGCCCCTGCTTTGAATCAGTGTGTCCCAAGCACTGGATTATTTTGCAAAGAATTTGATCTCACACTGATCTTCCCCATAGATTTCCAGATTGTCCCCATCCTACACATGAAGAGCTCAGAGGGCATCTCGTAAAACTACAGGCGACATCTCATAAAGCAACCCCAGTGTCTCCAGGCAGCTCATCACCGTGTGTGAGACAGTGGCAGGGACCCAAAATGTCCCCATGACATCAGGGGGATGGGGACACCCACACCTCCTGCTGGTCCTATGGCTGCTGGTCCTACAGCTCAAAGCCTAGGGCTGAGGGGAGCCCCCATCCCTCCCCTCCTCCTCCACCCAGGTCCCTACAGAGGACGAAACCTGAGCCTGGAGCCAATGGCATCCCAAAATTGCCTGCGCTGCACCCCGAGCCCCATTCCCCAGGCAGGGCTGTGAGGAATGCAGGGTCTTTTGTCACCAGCTAAATTTGGCTCCTCTGTGTGCAGAGAACAATCCCAAGGAGAGATGCTGGAGGCACAGCCCCGCGGGCATCTTGCCTTATAAAGGGCTGCCATAACACCTCCTCCTGCAGCCTGGGATCCACCACGCTGATCCTGTTCCTGCTGGGATCAGAGCAGGTGAAGCCAGGATGGGACTGCGACTGCCACTGCCACTGCCACCACTGCCACTGCCACCACTGCCACCACTGCCACTGCCACTGCCACTGCCACTGCCACTGCCACCACTGCCAAGCCCACAGCAGCAGAGGGGCTGCTGCATCCCCCCATGGCACAGGTCCTGCAGGTGTCCTGGCAGTGGGAGGAGATGGGAACTGCACATCCTGTGTTCAGTGGGACATGGGGCTGCTGTACCCCCCATCACTGGAGCTGCCCCATGCACGCAATTGCGTGTCCCTCCGCGACCATAATAGATGTAGGATTAAAATACCAGGCATTGTCCCGCTGGGCTGCACGCTGGGGATTGTTTGCTCCTAAACTTGCCCCTAAAAATATCCTGGGAACAGGTGCTGCCTGCCCTATGGGCTGCACGGAGCCTCCTTCTGTGGTGACACCCGGATGGGGGGCAGGGAGCAGCTTAGGGGATGGAAACCGCTTGAGCATCCCAACCAGGACCTGGCTGCTCCTGGCCCACAAAGCAGTACTCAGCTCTAACCAAGCAGATGGTGTTGGTGGTGGAACCCCCTCCCCATCACCCCCATCAGTGGGGATGTGCACTCCTGCTGTGGCAGCCCTGTGGGCAGCACTGATGTGGGTACATCACTGCAGCTCATGGGCTGTGCATACATCAGCTCGCCGGGCTCTTCACCCCATCTCCATTTCTGCAAAAAAAAAATAAAAATAAAGCTGAGAGAGTTTCTGCAGAGAGAAAAGCCATGCAGAGACTTGGCCTCCTTGCAGGGCTTACCCAGCACTGCGTGGGAAAGGAGCAGAGTGGGAAGCACAAGGGCACTGCTGTTGCACCCTGGATGCATGCATCTGTGCACATGGCAGCGAGCAGCAGCAGAACTGACCTCATGCAAACAGCAGGCATTGCTGTGAGCGCATTGGGGTGCAACAAACCCTGCTGTAATGCACATGTGTGCCCGAGGCAGCACCCCAGGTGTGCGCTGCACGTCACGGGGCGGTGGGGCTCGCAGTGCACCAGAGGGGATTTGTGCTATTTTTACTGACCACTTGGAAGCCAGCTGAGGGTTAACACTCCCCCTCCGCCGCCGGGCCCCGCAGTGCTCAGCTCTGCAGACACCAGGCACCAGCTCCCAGGTAAGAGGGTCCCCCCGGTGGGATTGCTGGGGATGTGGGGCTGTTGGTCCCCAGCTGTGGCAGTTCCATCTGAGTCGGCCACCAGCGCCGTTCTGGGGTGGATCGAGTCCTTCTGTGGCTCGGGGTCGCTGGTGGGATCGGGGAGGTGGGCTGGGAGTGCACCCAGAGTGGGTGCAGGGGGATGGCAGGGCCGGCTGTGTTTGATTTTACAGGGTTCTTTCTTTTAACATTTTCTCTGCTTTTGTGTTTTATGAAACTTTTTATGGCTGGAGACGTGTGGTCAGAGCAAAATGAGCTCGTCCCGATTGTGTCTCCATCAGAGAGCAAAGTCTTTTATGGATGCTCTGGGTCTGGAGCCCCCAGATCCCTGACACGAGCTCACCAGGCACGTCCTGCTGCTCCTCTAACCCTCCGGGAAGCCAAATTAGAACTATTTTGCCCTAAAACTTGGTTGTCCTTGGTAGAGGTCGCTGGGATGGGGTCTGGCGTGGGTCCCACCTCCTGGAACGTGGCTTTGTTCTGAGGGGAGGGAGAGGAACGCCACGAGGCTCCTCCAGCTGCTGCTGCTCTGCTGGGACACAAAGGGTTTTCTGTCCCCCCTGGGGAATTCAGGAGGGAGCAGTTGGGGTCTGCCCTCAGCCCTCCCTGCGCGTCCTCTGGGGCGCTCGATGTGTCACCAAAAACCTCCAAAAAAAGCATGAAATGGGCAGCTGACGTCTGACTTTTGCTAAAAAATATATATCCTATTTTTGGGGTTATTCTCTGTAAACCCTGAGGCCCAGCTGGCTCTGTGGGATGAGGCTCCTGTGGGGATCTGTGGCTTTTCTTCCCCAGCTGCAATGCTTCAGGTGGGAGTTTTGAGGCAGTGGGGACCCAGGGAGGGATGGGGACGAAGTGAGGGACTGCTGCCCGTATGCTGTGCAACGCTCAGCCTGGGGGCACCTCTCCAGGACCAGAGGAACTCTTCTTCATTTTCCCCTTTGCTGTTTCAAATGGTTCCCAAATTCGCTGGGGGTGCAAAGAGGTCGGTGGAGGTGGAACTCCTCAGTGTGAAGGAACACCAGCAGCCCCACCAGCACCGACGAGAGCTGTTTGTTACTGAGATGCGCCTTCAGTTTGGATGCAAAGAGGGGAGGAAGATTTGATGGGCATTTTCCCAGTGCTTTTCCCACTCCTGGGCTCACGCTGCGAGCAGCCAGCAGGGGCTCAGCACACAGCAGCTGCTGGGGCATAGGGTTACTGAGAGCATTCCAAGTATGAAATGGCGAGCGTGCCACGGTTGAGCAGTGCTGGATGCTGGAGGGTCTGAGCAGAGGGGGGGGTGACCCCTCACTCCGCCCATCCTGTGCACATCCAGACCCACAGCTCCCCACCCCGCCTGGGTGAGAGGTGGGGCAGGCATTGGGAAGCTCCATGGGGCACCAGGGCTGCTCCCCTCCATTGGCAGCACCGGACCGACGCCGTTTTGTGGCTTGTTTCATCCTCCTCTCCTGTTTGTTGATTTATTTACCAGCCCATCCCTGTATCTACTTGGTTATTTCTGCACGTTATTTATTTCTGTCTGTGTGTGTTTGCAGGAGATCAGCCCAGTGCCACAATGCCGGAGCCGTAAGTAGTGCTGCTTCATCTCCCCCCGGGGTTCTCCCACTCCTACCCACTGAGATGCTTTTTTAATGGGGTTCAGACTGGAGGACAGATTGCTTGGGATCTCTGTGCTGTTTCCTTTGTAAAAAAATCATCTCCCTTCAACTAAAAATGCATAGCGACCTCAGTGTCCTCGTTGGAAGCTCGGAGCTTTCTGAGGTCAGAGGAAAGCATGGAATCACAGAATTTTGGCTTTTTGAGAGGGGACTTTCAGCTCCCAGAGAGCCCCATCCGCTCAGCCTGGCTGCAGGTCGGGCTCACTGTGGGTGTGAGTCATTGCACACAGAGAGAAGGAAACCAATGGCAATCCCAAGGGAAACTTCTGCCTGCCACCTCCTTCTGATTCCCACTCATTGATGCTCTGTTCTCTCCTCTCCTTCACTGCTCCTGCCCAAATGCGCCCGCCAGCAGGGAGGTGAGTGCTGCTCCTTTTGAGAGGGATCATGATGCTCCCCTGCCTTTTCTCTCAGTTGGTTTTCAAAGCTTTTTCCTTCCCCTTTCCCCTAGAGAAAATCCAAGATCACAGCCTCACGCAAGCTCCTGTTGAAGGTGAGTCCCGAGGGCTGGAAACTCCCTGGGTTTGGTGGAACAGGAGCTGTGTGTTGGTGGGATGGTGGTGGGGAATGGCAGCTCCCACTCCCACCTTTTTCTGAGAAAGCTCACTGATGTGGGCTGTGGCTGATGGAGCAAATCTCCCCTCCCTTCCCCCTGTGCGAAGGTGGGAGAAGCTCTGAGCCCTCCTGTCTGCAGCCACAGCCCCACAGCCCCCGTGTCGGTGCACCTGGGCTGTGCAGCACCACCCTGGGGGCTCCCCTTGCTGTGGCTTGGGAAAGTCTCTGCCACAGCAGAGCAAAGGCACGCAGAAGTGCTGAGGTCAGCATCCCGTGGGCCCAGCAGCACCTTTAGAGACCTCAGCAATGGGATCTGCCCATCCACACCTCCACCGTCTGCTTGTGCCCGCAGAGCTTGATGCTGGCAAAAGCCAAGGAGGAGTGGGATCAGGAGATCGTGGACAAACAGTCGGAGAAGGAGAGATACCTGTCCGAGCGCATCACCCCGCTGCACACCAGCGGGCTCTCCTTGAGCCAGCTTCAGGTACATCCCTGCCCCAAGGATGGAGCGATGGCTCTGCAGCACTGGGGCCACCGCTCACCTCCCCCGTGCTGTGCTTGGCTGCAGGACCTGTGCCGGGAGCTGCACGAGAAGGTTGAGATTGTGGATGAAGAGAGATACGACATCGAAGCAAAGTGCAACCATAACACTAGGGAGGTAGGAAGGGGAAGGCAGCTTCCACATTCTCCTGATCACCCCTTGTAAGTCTGAGCACTCCTTCTCATGGTCCAGCTGCCATCCAGGTGGGACAGGGTTGTGACAGCTCTGAGCCCAGGGAGAGGTGGCCTTAAGGGCGGAGGCTTGGACCCTGCTGGGACTTGGGGTCATCAGAGACTGCTGTTTCACCAAGGCTTCCATTCAGTGACCTCCACTCCTCCCTTCCCCATCCTGCAGATTAAAGACCTGAAGCTCAAAGTGCTCGACCTGAGAGGGAAGTTCAAGCGGCCCCCGTTGCGGAGGGTCCGCGTCTCTGCTGATGCCATGCTGAGAGCTCTGCTGGGCTCCAAGCACAAGGTGTCCATGGACCTGAGAGCCAACCTGAAGTCTGTCAAGAAGGAGGACACAGAGAAGGTGGGTAGATGGAGGGATGTGCAATTAATAGGTAGACAGAGGTTCAGTGTGGATCATAGGACCACCTGGGAGCTGTTGGGCTGCACCAGGTAACTGGCAGATAATGGCAATGGAGGATGGCATCTGTGGAGCTGCAAATGCAGAGAGTTTGGTCTTTGGTCTTCTTGGGTGCCAGGATAGCTCTGATTTGGTGCAATCCCAGTCACAAACACCCAGGAGACCCCCAGGCCCAGATTAGATAAGAGAGCAGTGCAGCAAGCACACTTGGCAGCAGACAGACAGCCCAGCTCACAGCAGCTTTGCAGAGATTAGAGAAGGGAGTGAGTCCCAGCATTGCATTGGGACTTTCTTGCCTTGACTCCTTGCTTTGGTCCACCTTGTGCTTCATAGCCACAAGATGACTTTCAGGTCAGGCCATCCTGGCAGTCCCACACAGAGTCTGGAGGACTTTTTTTCAGTGCCTTGTTCAGGAATTGCAACTTTTTGGTCCTTCCTGGAGCAGCAGCAAAGTTGGGATGTCCAGATTCTCCTAGAACAGCTCTGCTGCTGTCCCAGTGCCTCTCCTCAAAGATCACTGTGTTTTACCTCCTGGTCCCAGCTCAGCAGTTTGCACAAAAGCTTCAATTTTCTGCTCATTTTTCCTTTTTATTTCCCCCCCATTGTTGCTTGTAGGATGTATTTTCAGCCCTTTGGACAGAAAACTGCACTTACAGGTCTCAACGCCAGGTGGTGATCAGATCTGAGTTTATTTTAGGTGCCGTGAGATTTGGGAGCAGGGCTTGTAATCTATGAATGCCTGTGGGCTGGCAGAGCGGTGTCTGGGCACGCACCCAGGGCTGCCTCCTCCCCATTCTGTGCTATCGGGCTCCCCCTGCACCTCCAGCACTCCCAGCCCCATCCAAGCTGAGCTCTCCTTGCAGTGAAAGTGCTTCTGCTTGCACTCGGTGTAGAACTGGAATAAGTCCCACATCAGCTTCATCCTCCTAAGGAGATTTTCTGGGATTTTCATGCTTTGGTAGCCTCATGCATCCAGAGCTCCCTGCTGCAGCCCCCCTTGGCCAGCCCCACATCCACGCACTCGGGGCACAGCTCTGATGGAGAGGGCATTTGCAGCAGGGCAGTGGCTGGCCGTGTGCAGGGCTCTGTGCAGTGGGGCAGGGAGCTGTGGGGCTGGCAGTGCTCTGTTCCCAACCCCTGTCCCCGCTGTCCCCATCCCCCTGGCAGGAGCGCCCCGTGGAGGTGGGTGACTGGCGCAAGAACGTGGAGGCCATGTCGGGGATGGAGGGGCGGAAGAAGATGTTTGATGCTGCCAAGTCCCCCACGGGACAGTGAGAGGTAACCCCAGCGAGTGTTATCCCGGCTGGGATCCCAGTTCCTTGGGCTGCTTTTTGGGAAGCACTTCTTCTGCCCCACTGCTCTGCTCTGTTTCTCTCCCACAGGAGCACCAGGACAGAAGAACATCCCCAATCCTTCTGGCTGCCCCCTGACCCCCCATGTTGCTGCCCCTCTGTCCTCTTTGCATCCTTGCCCTGAACTCCCCACTGAGATGAACCATGTAGACAACCATCTAGGAAGGAGATCTGAGTTTCTTCCCTTCAGCTCTGCCTTTCTCCCCACTCTCAGTCTCACCCACACAGGATGTGCTCTTGGAGGGGCCACCATCCACCATCCCCTCCCAACCCTGCAGGGAGGGGACAGCCCCGCTCCCCCCGTTCCCAAACCTCCAGCACAGCCTGAGATGTGCCCATGTGGCTGCATGTGTATTAAAGGATGGTCTGTGGGGCCGAACACTGCATGAGCTCATCTCTGCATTGGCCAAGAGTAGGTGCGGGTACATAGCAAGACAACCCGGTCCTTTCCTGTGCCCTGGGCTCAGCCTTGCATGGGGATCATCTCTTCCAGCCCCCATCACAATGGTACCCCCAGCTCTGCTCCCCATCCCCCTGTCACTTCCTACATCACTGCAGGAATGGGTGGGTGCACCCCATAATCGTGTCTCCCACTTGGACATGGTGCCTTTGGGATTGGAGATCCCGGTTTGGCCATGGTTCCACTGGGTGGGAGATCCACCATCACGACCCCAACAACAAACATGAAGGGTTTCAGCTCTGATCGCTCTGCCCATGTGGGCTCTGTGCCGAGGCTGCGTCCTGGGATCCCCAGAGGGAACTCACACACATGGCTGTGATTCTGGCAGGGGAAGAAAGGTGTGGAGGGAGAGGCAATAACTGTACCTGACCAACTGGAATAGCTGGAAAATGCAGGGAGGTTTCATGGAAACAAAGCCTTCTTCAGAACTGAAACAGAAGCAGAAAACCCAAACCGAGTTGGGGTCGAGAACGAAGCTCTGAGCTCAGCGTAATTATGATAATTGGGTACTTTACAAACAGGGGTGGTGTTTGTGGGGCAGGGTGGGATGGCAGTGAGATGAAAGGCAATGGAGAGGTGGGTGCTGTGGGACTGGGCTCTGGTGGGCACTGCTTGGATGCCCAACACATCTCCAAATCCTCCACACTGAAATGCTGTGTGCTGCAGCAGGGCGATGCCCAGGGCTCACCAGCACATCCCTGCAGCCAGGAAGGCACTCACTGCAGGCTATAGCTGGCTCTGAATGATCAGATTGGGTTTAAATTGAGGGGCAAATAGAAAAAAAAGACATCCTGACCCCCAGGTTCATCGACTTTTCCAAATATGATGTTTCCCAGTTGCTGCGTCCTGCTCTCATCCTTCTCTGGTGGAAAACCATTCCTACCACTATGGGTTACCATGAGTAACCATGACCATTTTGCCCTGGGAGCGTTTGCAGCCCTGCTGGTGGTGGGAGCTGCAGAGGGAGGGCTGGGGGCAGCGGGCAGCCCTGGGTTGGGTGAGTATGTCCCCATACCCCTCCAACCCCATGGCCTCTGCAGAACACTGCATGAGGTCAGTGCTAGGCTGCCAGCTTATGGAGAAGCTAAACTCTGACCCATTGCTCATATCAGAGGGAATTCCTTGTTAATTACAACTAATTTCCTGTGCTATGAGGGATGCAATCTGCCGTGCAGCTGCTTTCCAGCTGGCAGCATCAGTTACTTCATGTAATGCAACCTGAAAGGCTGCCAGTGACACTGCTGCTGGGGGACATCTGTACCTTGTCATCATTAGCTGTGGCCGTGGGGCATCACAGGAGATGGCTTCTGCTGAAGAGGCCTCTGCAGAGGATGACAGGAACTTGAAGGACTCTACAGCACCCCTGGGGCACCGCAGGGGCAGCTGTGAACCAAGGCATCCAGTGCTTGTCTAAAATCTTTTACTTTCCTCTTCTTCCTGCCTTCCTTCCTTGGTTGGGATTTGCTTGATTTCTGAGCAAAAATGAACCAACCTGAGATGCCTTCATGCTTGGCTTCCCTCTTCCAGTGGAGGTAGCCCTGTGCTCCCCGTTTCTCACACATCACAGCCACCTTCCCCAAAGCTGGAGGAGTTTTAGGCAGGGAGCAAAGTGTGATGGAGGAGCGGAGCAGGGGCCGATGTCAGGACCAGCGGATGGGTGGAGGTGCAGGATGCACTGCTGGGCCCCGGGGCGAGGCTGAGGAATGCCCCAATTACAGCACAATTATGAGAACTGGAAGCTCTCCACTGCCCTCAGCCAAAGGAACACGCGTGGGGATGAGGCACAGGACAGTGTTCCCAAGGGAAAAAACAACAATCCTGGCCTGGCTCCTTAATGGGTATAAATGGGTGTCCTCTGCTGCTCTGCGCCAGGTGAGGTTCTGGCCTCCTGCTCCATTCCCAGCAGCAATGGCTGGAAAAGCCACAGCTAAGAGGGAAAGTCCAAGCAGAGATAAATATTGAGGGAATAGATGGGAAACAGTGATGGTGAGATAGCAAAACCTGGTGCTAACTCCGGCATTTTCAGCATAGCAGAGATGAAGGACAATGATAAACACGCTCAGAAGGTTCTTGCAGGGCTGGGATTTGGGGATAAAGTGGCAGATGATCTTCCAGGGAAAATCCAACGTGAGTTCGTACAGAACGACTGGCTCAGGATTGGCCATTGTTAACGTGGGAGTGGCAGTTTGGGCTTACAGCAAACATGAAAAAACACAGAAAGTGGAGGAGAAAGATGAACTGACTGCTCTGGGGCAGCAAATATCTCACACCAGTGGTGTCCTGATGGCTGAAGATCAACGCTTTGTGCTGCCAAACAGCTCAGCTTGAGCCGGCCCAAAGCAATGGGGAGGTGGGAGCTCTTCTTTGGTGGGGAACAGAGCTGGGAATTCTGTGCTGGAGGAGAAACTCACTGAGGGGTCTTTAAAGTCTCTTTAAAAGGGGTCTTTAAATAGATCTGAGCTGAAAATGAAGATCAGGGCAGTCCCAGGGGTGAGCATCACCAGTGCTTATCCTCTGCCTGATCGCTGTCCGCTAAATCCTGGCTAGAATTTCTTCATCTTCATCATAAAAGGAATCACAAACCACAAGGTTTTATGTTCCTTTTCTCCATAGATCCTAGCTGGGGGTGTTCTTTCACTGCGCTCAGCCTAATCCTCCTAAAAATCCTGCTAAGTCCTGTGCCTCAGTGCTATCCTTTGGCAATGAGTTTTGCAAGTAAAGCACTCGCCGTGCATTAATCAGAAAGGTTCATTGCTTTCTAGCAGCTCGCTGATGCTGGACGGCTATATATAGTTTGTCAGCAATTAGTGGGACACTTACAAGGTTATTTAAGTAAGTTCTTTGTGCCACAACTCACGGAACTCCTTGTATGGGTGTTGAAAGGCAACAGTGACAGCAAAGAGGAAGGAAAGCAGAACTGGCTCGGGGTGGGAGGCCCATGGGACATAGATGGCCTTCAGAAATGGAGTTTCGATCAGCAACCTTTGGTTCAAAGGGACCACAGGGGCTGTTCAGGTCTTGGCACACCTGGAGGAATTTGGGTCGGGGTCTGGGGAGCAGCTCAGAGGGATGATGGGTTTGTGGGGCTGAGGATGGGCGCCCCAAAATCACCGCTGGGTGAGCTCCCTCAAGTCCTTCTGGGTGCTTTTCAATGCAGCAAAGCTCACAGCAGTGGAGAGGCCACCAGACGTCCAGGAAAAAAAAAAAAAAAAAAAGGCTTCAAGGAGCGTGGCACCCTCCCATCTCTTTGGGCACGCTCTGCACCCAGCCAGAGGTGTTTAATGACTGTTTTGTATCCCGGAGAGCCAGCGGCTGCCTCCTCCCACGCACCCACGGTAATTCACCTCCTCCAGCCTCTCGCAGGAGGCGTTGACGGGCGCAGGGTGCTGGTAGAACAGGTTCTGGGCTGGGAGTTGTCTCCAAAACCCTGGGAGACCTGGATGGATCCAGCCCAGAGCGCGGGTCTCGCTGCGAGCCCTGGCACAGCAGGCAGCGAGCTGAGCTCTGCTTTGCGTGGCACTCCTGGGCAGGGCGGCTTTTGCACGGCGCTGCTAGTAGACAAATTACAGCCCTGCCTCTGTCCAGGTAGATAAGAGACCATGTGATGCAGCGGGGTGGTGAACGGGCTGCAGGAGGGTAAAGGTGCACAGGGAAATAACCTTGCAGGTTCCCTCCCTCCTCGGGCAGCCAGTCCACGCCAAAACACCTTTGCCTGGATGCTTGCGAGGTTTTGGGGCTGCCGGAGACCCACGAGAAGCGGTGATGTCTTTCAGCAGGAGGAACTGGTCTGACCTCTCCAGGTGGGTTATGGCAGCGAGGATGGGGTCAGGGTGGGCTGCCGGCACTGCGGGGTGTGGGGAGGATGGGGGTTGCCATCAGGTGCTGGTGCTGCCCCATTAGTACTTGGTGCTGGGGGGGTTTCTCGTGGGTCGGTGAGACCCGGAGTGGTTTTGTTTCTTCTGCCTATGGGAGAACGGAAGCAGCTCTGGAGAGTTATCCGTGCCCCATGCCGGGTGTGTTCCTGGTTTTGGGGTCTATTTGCTGTTCTCTGTGCTGGTTCTGGGAAGGGCTATGAGGTTTTGTGCTCTGCTGTGCATGCGAGGCCCCCATTGCATGCCCAGGCTCTGCCCATCTGATTCATCCCCACCACCAAACCTGCCCGGCCCCGTGGCTGTGCCCTTCCCGAAAGGGATTTGGGTTCCAGTGGGAGCTCCTGGGCTGGGGGAGGTGGGGGCTGGGGGCTCACACGCAGCCCAGGGACGTGGGGTCGGTGCCGGCATCGCACACGCCCAGAGCTGGTCACGGTGAGTCAGACACAGCCCACAGAGCGGTGCAGAAATCCCTGTCTGGCTGTTGGCTCACCCAGCCAAAGGGCTTCCAGGACGGCTGTAGTTTGGGGTAAAACACCCAAAGGGATCAGCCCCGAATTAGGAACTGATCCCCCAGTGCTCAGGGGCTATCAGGGCACATCGGTGCCTCTATCACCGGGCTCTGGGACAAATCCAGGGTGCATCCAAACCCCATCCGGGGCCACCTCCATGCCCAGCAGGACCTGTGCCTGGCACTTGCACAAGGCAAGAAGGCGGTTTCTCCTCCCAGGAGATGAGACAGCATTCCCCGAAACAGCAGAGATGTCAAATATCTCAGCACTAATGATTAACAGGGCAGGAGAGGACAAGGCAGGGGAGAGCTGCCAACCTCCTTTTACTCATCTCTTTGAGGTTAAAAAAGGTAATACAGTGAGAAAGGAATCCCTCTTTGAAAAAGCAGAGGGAAAGATTGGCAAAGCAAATCCATAGCCTGTTGTGTGGATTATTTAATTACCAATAATGAGAAACTGCACGTCAGCAATGCCAGCTATGTGCCGCCTGCAGGAGCCAAACAAACGCGAGGCGGGGAAACCTCAGTTTCATTTTGGAGCCTGTGTGTGCAAATCAAAGTAACGTGGGCTCGGAGTTTTGGCTCTGGGTTTTCACTGTGGGAGGGACACACGGCAGCTCCTCTGTCCTTGCAAATATAGCTGAGCGGCTCTGCAAGGGCAGCTGAGCTGCGCAGAGCTGTTTGCAGGCAAATAGAGGGGAGCACTGCTGCAATGCTGGGGATGCTCACAGATCCCCACCTTCTCCATCCCTGCTGCACCCCAGGCCACGCTGTGCTCGGGGTGATGGGGACGGAGGCAGGCAGCACACGCTGTGCCATGACCCCATCCCTGCTCTCTGTTCCGCACTGCTGCCCCTGCAGCCTCCCCGCCTCCGTCCACCAGGAAGAACAGAAGCTGCGAATGGTCGCGGGGGGTAATGTGGTTTAATTTATCACCCAACCTTCATTACACAGTAACTCACAGAGCGCACGGAGAGTCGCTGTGTCCGCAGTGGTGCTGGACCCGGGCACGCTCTGACTTTCACATTCTTAAAATCAGCTTCAGAGCAAATGCTGGGCCTGGGTGCAGCTGCACAGAGTGCTGTGAGGGGCTGGATCCTGCAGGGCTGTGAGTGTTCACAGCTGGCTCAGGGCTGGGGCTGCAGGTACACAGATGCTGTCGTGAAAACCGCACAGCAGCCTGGAAAATATTGCTTAACACTGTGGCAGAGAGAGCGGGCATGGTTTGCATGGAGATAGGAGCCTTGCTCTCCAAATACCTCTGTATTCAGGTCGGTGTTTTAGCCTAAAAGCCATTACTTTGGTGCCAAAATGACTCTTTAGAACATTGGTATTTTGGTATAAGCTGCGGTTATAACAAATTCCTGGTCCTTCTGGCTGTGGGTGCCAGGGGAGATCTGTGTCCTTCTGCCCCGGGGCCTTTTGCACAATGAATATTAAAAGGCCATCTCCATAACCCATGTTGTGGCCACGACCTGCTGTTGCTCGTGGTGACCCACAAGGGTGTGTGGTTGGGATCCGTGCTGCGGTTCCAGGGCTCTGCTGAGTTACAGGTGAGACATCCTCACCCAGATAATCTGGCTTAATGTAGGGATTCCTTTCCGATGAATGCTGCCTCGAATGGGAAACATTAGGAGTTGGAAAGTCAGATGCTTGCGTTGGGAAATGTGGGGATCAGTTGGGTGGAGCAGGAGTGCTTTGCAACACATGGTTCGTGTTGGTGTCCCCTCCCCTGCGCTCAGCAGTCCCACACCTCAACCGTGGTTGGATTTTTGGGTGGTCCTGTGCAGAGCCAGGAGTTGGACTCAGTGATCCTGATAGGTTCCTTCCACCTCTGGATATTCTATGACTCTGTGATTCCACATCTCCTCCCAAACAGCCTGGCCAGGCAGAGGACACTTGAAGATGAAGAAGAGCAGCAGAGGGAGCGCCGGCGGAGGCACCGCAACCTGTTGTCCTCCTCATCCGTGGATGAAGACCACCCCAGCCCTGGGAAGGACCCCAGCCCCGCTCCCAGCAGGTGGGTGCCAGGTGCCAGCCATGCCTTGGATGCTTCTTGGGCTAAACTGTGCTGGAGCAGAGAGGTGCCCCATCATTAGGTTAACCTCACCTGTGGGCTGGAAGCCTTCCCTTGGTGCTGGGTGCTGAGGTCTGGCCCTCTCGGTCTCTCTGCAGGCCCCAGGCCCCGGTGAAGCTGATGGCTCCCGAGGAGGGCGAAGAGCGTAAGCTGACAGAGGTGCTGAGGACAAAAGAAGGGAGACGGATGAGGTCAACAATGGCAGTGCCTGAGAAACCAAAACAGGAGAAGGAGCAGCAGGAGGCAGGAATGAAGCCGCACACGGGGCAGGAGAGCATCGCGGCTGCAGAGCGGGGTCAGGATACGGCCCCAGCCCCAGCAGGAGAGCAGCACCCGGAGCAGAGCCATGGGAGGAAGGTGACAGCAAGAGGACGGCTGCAGGACAGAGACGGATCGGGTGTGGGGACACTGCGGGGAGAGCAGAGGAGGGAGGAGGAGCAGCAGCGAGTGGCTCCAGAGCTGGGGGGCTGCCGGCTGCGCGAGGTGAAGATCCTGACCCGGACCAGGAGCTCCAGCACGGAGGAGAAGGCAGCCTCAGAGGGGACCTCACCTCCAGCCCAGCAGGTGAGCGGGACCTGGGCATGGTGCTGAGCCTTGGGCTGGGAAGTTCTGGGTGCTGGAAGGACAAAGGAGAACCAAAAGGTACCAGGAGGGAAATGCAGCCTGTTGGGGAAGGCGTGTTTGGGGAAGTGCTTCCTGGCCTCCTGGTGCTGCTGGCTGAGCAGCACTTTGTGAGGTTGGGATCTGTCCTTGCCCTTCCACACACTCTAGATGGATGAGGAGGCACCACAGTCCCACCTCCTCCTTCCCTCACTTTGCATGTGCCACTATGATCGCCTTCTCCTGCAGCACTGCCAGTTGCCATCAGGTTTCCCCGGAGGGATGTTTGGGCTTTGCAAATCCAAAGGAGACAGCCAAAGTTTGGATGGTCAGGATCTCAAACCACCATCTCCAAACCATTTCCACCCTGGCTTCTCTGATCAGTGCATCCGAACCTTCCCTGCAAACTCTGCATGGCTGCATCAGATGTCTGCTTTTTTCCCAGCAACCACCCAGGAATCCCTCAAAGGAGGGAATGCAGCCGCCTCCCAGCCAGGAGGAACCTACAGAAAAGCGGGATGCTCCTCCAGCTCCTGCCACCTACAGCACCTCCATCAGAAGAAGCAGCCCAAGAACAGTCTCCTTTCGGGTAAGAGCAAAACAAGGGTGAAAAAAAATAACATTAAGGCAGTGGAAGATGAGAGCAGGGAAGGGTTCTTTGGTCTCCAGGCACAGATCCTCTTCCAAAATGTGCACTTGAAATCCACCCTTCAGTCTAGGCATTGCTCTGCTTCAGTCTTTCTTCCGTTTCCCTTCTTCTCAGACCAAAAGTCCGTGGCAGCAGACATTCGTGTGCGTTGTTTGCATTGTGCTGGAATGGAAATTTGTGGGAAGGGGGAAGAAAACAGGGAGCTCGTTGTCAGGGAGATCCCCAAAGGTCACAGACACAACCATCCGCCCTCTGGCATTTCTGTTCTTCTCTGAGAATGCCAAATGAAAAAAAAAAATACATCCATCCTGCTTCTCATTTCTTGATACCTCAGGTTTGAGATCTGGCTCTTCTGCAGGTGAAAGCAGAGCATGTTTGAGAACGGGGAAGCTGAGTCCGACCCAGGTTCTCTTGTTCTTATCTGTTGCTCCTGTATTCCATCCCCTTGTGTCTTCCAGGTGATCTCAAATAAACAGAAAGAAGAAAGTGAGAGTCCTCTTGCAAGAAGGTCAGAGCCCTCCATGTGCTGCCTTTATGGGCAGGGATGGTCCCTCCTCTGTTTCCAAAGGGAGGAGGAGGGGATGGGACCTGACCCTGGGTCTGCAGAACGTTGGCCCCAGGCTGACTGGCCAGGATGCTCAGAGGGACAGCAGACTGGGAAGAAGATGGGGACACAGCTTAGTGGGTGATGGGTTGGTGGTTGGACCTGATGGCCTTAGTGGTCTTTTCCAACCTTAAGGATTCTGTGATTCTAAGACGAAGCCCAGATCTGTTTGTGCTGGAGATGGTAAACTGGGGAGCCAAGAGCGTGGGCCATATTAATCCCCACAGATCTGGGTCACTGTCAGGGATGGAGCTGCTTCCCTGGCACATGGGTGCAGGATGAGTGCCTGGGTTGGATGAGCTCTCCTCCTATCAAGTGGGGCCCCCCAGGGCCGTGGACTGAGGCGAGGAGATCCTGGGGGCTGCATTCAACTCCCTCCCCTGTTCTTCACAGCGCGAGCATGAGGATCCCAGGCAGCAGCAGCAGCATTGAGGAGAAGCTGGAAAAGTACACATCAGCTGTGCAGGTAGAGAAACCAGGCTGGGAGATGTGAGGATGGGGGAGGGAAGGGGTGGGCTGGAGCTGAGTGAGAAGAGAGGGACTGAGCTTCACCAAAAAAAAGAGGGACTGAGCTTCACCCCATCCCAATAGAGCTGAAGAATGTCCCATGTGGAAAATGGATCAGCTTCGGGGTTTTAGGAGCAGAACCTTGGAGAGGGTCATGGGGATGCTGCATGGGCATCTGCTGGGCAACCCCGAGAGCTGGAAGAAGGTCAAGGAGGGAGCAGACTGTGAGTTCTGCTCTGCACCCCAGGGGTGAGCACAGCCCCCACTGATACCCCTCCATCTCTTGCAGCGCTCGGGCTCAGTGAGATCTTCCCTGACAGTCCAGAAGAGCCTGATGTTGACTTCAGAGGGGGTGGCCAGCAAACGCAACTTCTTCGAGGCCAGCGCTCCCAGCAAGGCAGAGCCGCTCGCTGCCAGGAAGGTGAGGGGAGACATCGGCTTTTTAGGGTAAATCTTCTCCATTTTGGGTACCGATGTGTTGGACATCAATGTGCAGTGTGACGGGCTGCTGTCTGGATGGGTTTGGTGGGAGATTTTCGATGGGCAGAGCAGGGCTCAGGCCGCCCAAACTGCATTCTGGCAGTTCGTATTTGGGGAGCTGGGACAGAGCCAGTGCTGGTCCTCACCTTGTGTGGATTTGCTCAGTCTCCCTGTGCTCTGGGCACAGTCCTGGGCTGTGTCTGTGCAGTGAGAGGGCTGGAGCTGTAGCCCTGGCATCCATCTCTGTGCCACAGGACAACCTGAAGATCCCGGGATCGGTGACGTCGCGCATTAACCTGTGGATCAGCCGAACTCAGGAGCCTGCCAAGGAGGAAAAGAGCAAGGTAACAGCTTGTGCCATCACCTTGGGACGAACCCTGAGACCTGGCAGCCTGGTGGGACACGTCCCTGCATCTAGAGGGGGAGGTGGGGCTTGAAGGGTTTGGAGGAGCTTTGGTTGAACCCATTAAGGACTCTGATACTTCACACGGGCTCTGTGGAGCTTGAGGAGCTGCTGTGCACCGAGCTGTGCTTGGGGTCTGGAATGATTTACATCCTGTGTGCAGGATGTCCCCCAAATGATGGCGTCCCACAGCTGCCGGGACTCAGACTTGTCTCCAAGGGCACGGATTTGGGGGAGATGGGGAGGAGACACTTTGGCTTCCAGGCAGCTTTCTGTGCTTGGAGAGATTCAGCAAGGACAAGTGCTGGGCAGATGTCACCCTATACAGCAATAGGATTTGTTGCAGCCTCCTGGTACAGGACGAGGAGGGGCAGCCCCAGTCGGTCAGACATGCCTGGGCACCCCCAGCACTGAGCTGTGGGATTAGCACTGCCCAGACATGACTGCATGGGAGGCTGCACTGCCTCGGTCTGCCTGAAAGGGTTTGCTCCTGGGGTCGCTCCTGGGTAAAACTTTCTGCCTTGATTGGTTTTTGTTTTTGTTTTTGTTTTTCCCTTATAATAACACTTCCCACTGCGCAGTTCCTAGAGATTTCAGTTGGGTGGAAATTCTTCACCCAGAGGCAGGATGCACGGGGAGGACGGAGGACCTCCCTGTGCCGCTCACAATTCTCCTGTTTGCAGGACATCAGGAAGATCAACAGCCTGCCAAGGCGTGACGGCTGGGTGAAGCCGCCCAGAGAAACCCCTGCAAACCCCGAGGTAGATGTGGGGCTGCGCTGAGAGCCGCCCTGGGCTGGGGCAGGGCTGGGATCTGCATCACCCGCAGCTTCAGCCCCGTCCCTCCATCGTTCCTTCGCTTTCTTTTCCAGTTGTAACAATACCATACGCAACATTATCAGATGATAAAAACTGTTCTGCTCTGAAGATCAAAGCCTGGCCCTGCCCTGCCGTCCAGCAGCCCATAGTGCCAAAAAGTCCCCACTGCCACCTGCGGGTGGAACGGTGCGGCCCGGGGTCCTCTGCTGGTGGGCTGGAAAGGAAGAAGGCTGGAAGTCCATCCCTGCATCCCCTCTCCTCTCTCGCTGCCCTGGCCAGGAGTACCCAGACCTGGAGGCTCCCTGCAGACTCTGAACAGACCCTTGCCTTGCTTTCCTACAACGTTGTGCTGTCCTGCTCCCATTCCCTGGCTGTGCCCCATAACTGTGCTTGCTAAAGGGATCTGCCCATACCTGTCCCTTGCAGCTGGATCGTGTCAGCAGTGAGGCTGCACATCCATAAACTGTGCCCAGCCCCATGTGTGGGGCGAGGTGGGGGGCAGGGAGATGTCACCCCTCCCCAGGGCTGGCCCAACCAAAGGCAAAGGCTGCAAAGTGTGTGTGCCACGATTGTAGCCTTGAGACCCCGAAGACCCCAAAGCCACCTGGTCCCCACATGCCCGCTGTGCCCACCTGGGGGGACACCAGTTGCCTATAACACGATGCCCAAATCCTTCTGCCACAGGCTGGGGCTGTGCCTTCAGCAATCACTGTGCTGTCCAAATTCTGTGTGGGACCCTCCTGCTGCCCCCGGATCTGCTCTTGCTTGTTTGGCTTTGGATAGGACTTGATTTTCTCTAGGACTGGGTTGTTTTCTAATAAAAGTGGCTCCTTCTGAAATGTTCCTGCTTGGCTGGGACCTGAAGGATTCGTTTCCCATCATCCTGCAAGAGGAAAAAAGCAAAAATTTAAGACAAATATCTTGGGGTGGGGGATAAAAGCAGTCTGAGCTTTCGTATGGCAGCATCTGGGGCTGCAGCAGAGGGTCGGGTCCGAAGTGCTGCCTTATCAGCGTCCCCAGCCCTGGGAGGTGACAGCTGGCTGGCTTGTGTCAGCCCCTCGGGCGCTCACGTATCTCCATCCGACGGGTTTAAAATAGCAAATCTCTGAGGCCACACAATAGCTTGGGCTTATATGGGCTCCTGGGGGGGAAGGGGGAGCACAGAGGGGGCTGGGGCTACTGCTGCCAAAATAGCAGCTCACAAGTGTTGCATTCCTCTCTGGGCGCCGGGCACATTCCTGCTGGCTCTGCCCGCCCCGGGGTGGGCGCTGGGGGGACCTTAAAGCCTCTGCCCCCCAAGGAGCCCTTCCCAGACCGCCGCCAGCACCCACTGCTCTGTGGGACCTCGGCACAGGTAAGGCTGGGGATGCTCAGCTCCAGGAGGTGTTGATCCCGCGGGGGTTTGGCTTGTGGTTGGTGTGGTCCAGCTGCTCTCATTGGGATGTCAAACTGCCGTGGAGGCATTCCCCTGGGTAAAGCATCAGAGCCCTCTCTGGTGGGTTTGTCGGCAGCAGTGCCAGCACCGTTAGGAGCTGGGAAGGATTTGGGGTGTGCTTGGAGCCCTGGTGATGCCGGGAGAGAGATGATGCCTGCAGGAGCACCAGCAAGGCCGCGGTGTGTCAGAGTGGGGCACTCCTGGTTGTTTCAGAGTGAGCGTTCAAAGCCTGAACTGGAATATTTACCCCATCTCCGTGTCAGTTGCAGAGGATGGACAGACGTTTCTTAGAGCCACGTTCCGGCAGACTGTGGGCTTTTCTTGTGTGTCCCTTCAACAGTTCTGGTTTTGCTGTTGTTTCTCAGAAAATGCATGGTGGGATCTGGTGATGCAGGAGGTGAATGGGAATGCATCCTGGCCAGGAAGGGATCTCTGCTCTTGGGAGCCCCAGGTGCCAGCAGCCATGCAAAGGGTTTGACCAAACTCTGGGGGCAGCAGAGCTGTGCTGTGCCCCAAATATCAGCTCAGAAGGTTGAGGGGCTGATCCAGAAGGAAGGGGGAAATGGCAGCAGCCAGGCAGTGAATCCGAGGCAGTCGGGGCTGTCTTCTGACTTCATTGGTCTCCAAAAAGCCCCTCCTGAGTCATCGCTCAGCAGGGAGATCTGACAGCTGCGTGGCACACTGAGGCATCCCCACTGCTGTGCGCCTTCCCCGCGTCTGTGGGTCCCCATCCTGCGTTCAGCATCCTTACCAAGTGATCCCCACGCCTCTCCTACCCATCCTGGGTAATAAATACCCGACAGATGCAGTCAGGAGCAGTTGTTCCTACAACGCCCAGTGGGAGTGAGGAGCTGCTCTGGGAACAGGTGGTTGGGCACCCGGAGGTTATTTCTAGGACTGCCTCATGCTGGGTGATATCACCGAAGCACAACTGGGAGGGAGATGGATGTGCAAGGAAGATGCTATGCTCAGCCCTACTGCTGCTCCCAGCTGTGATTTATTACCCCCTTTGGCTAAACTCAGCCTCAGGGCTGGGAGCAGGAGCTCCTGCTGAGCTCACATTGCCCCTCTGCTCTTGGAGGGCCGGGCTGTCTCACCGAGATCTGGTGCAGGGCTATAGAGTGGAGATAACAGAACATCTCTGGAAGTCGTCATATCGCAGCTGAGCTAAGAATAGTCGGGAAGAAACCAAGCTGAGCATTATCACTGGGTGATTTTCCCATGCCCTGAGCAAAAGCAGCACCCTGGGATGGCTCCAGCACAGAGAGCTGTGTGTCCTGGGCACAACTCCTGGCAGCAGCTATCAGCATGGCATGGGGCTGTGCCCAACCTCCTGCCTCTCATCCATGGTGAGCTGTGATCCTGGGATGGAAGGGGACTGGGGAACCTTATCTCCGCTGAGATATCACTGCCACGGCCCAGCTGGGGACAGCTCACAGCTCCAAGTGCTCCGGGGAGAGGCAGCAGGACAGGCTGTGCTTGTCCTTATCTCAGCTCCTAACCCTCCCTTTTTCCATCTTGCCTTGCATTCTGGTAGATAACCAAGCATGTCGGACTCTGAAGAGGTTGTTGAAGAATACGAGCAGTAAGTGGCATGGTTTCTAACACTCTTCCTTTCTCCTTATTCCTGCATTCCTGCAGGAGGGGGGTCCAGCTGTGCTTGCTGCCCCAGCACACAATGTGAGAGCACTTCAGGATCTCCCCATGACCACAGGCATCATTGCTGTGTCTGTGCTGAGACCAGCTGGGCATCAGCAGTGGGTCAGACCCTTGGTACATCCGAGGACAGACTGTGCACCTCCCTTCAGGTCAGGAAAGGACTTTGGGGCCATTCCCAGGCTTTCATACCGTGGGTGCTCGATCCTCTCAAGCTGCATCACGGTCCTGGGCTCTGCCCACTGTAGGAGTGCCACAAGAGCACTTCAGTTCCTGATCAGTTCAGGTCTTGGCTTGTCTCCACTGCCAGCTCCCAGCACAGCCAAGCAGTCACTGGGGCCTCCATGAAAAGGGGTCCCCAGCCCTTGGGAAGTGGGAGCCTTCTTCAGCCCCACTGCAACAGATTGCTGCAACTTGGCTTCTTTGTGTCGTGCTTTGCAGGGAGCAGGAAGGTAAGGGGACACAGAGCATCCACAGCCACCCTGAGACTGATGCTAAGGAATGATGGGGATCACTGCAATAACCCTCGTCTTCTTTCTCTTCCCTTTCTCCCCTGTGCACTCATATGAAGAGGAGTATGTGGAAGAAGGTAGGTGATCCTCCTGCTGCTGGAAGGGCAGGTGCTGTTGGTTCAGGGTTTTGCTTGAGTGGTGGTGGTGATTTCCTTGCCATGGGCAGACTGAGCAGAAAAGGCAATGGGACCAAATTCTGAATTCCTCCACCTCAACCATCAGTAGAACCGAAGCCACCCTGAATTTTTTCAGGATTTCTTTTCCCAGGGAGATCCTTTGGCCCTCAGAGGGAGGTGGCAATGCTGGATGTGGGTGCGTGCAGAAGTGTGAGCACAATAATTCAACAGGTGCTGGAGCTCCAGCTGAACGCACGTTAACAACGCTCAGGCAGAACCCCAACTCCATCAGCGTGCTGCAGGACCAAACGCCCTGCTGCAGCAGTGGGGCTGTCTGTATGGGGTGGGCATGGGAACTGGGGTCTGCTGGGGCTCCTGCTGCTTCAGAGCTGCTGCACAGCAAAGCATCCTAAGAGCTAAAAGCGAAGGGTTGGAGTCCTCACCTCATGCACACCACAGCTCTGCCCCACAGCTTTAGGGCACCTGACTAACCTCTGCGCTTCTTCCCTTCCCTCCTCCCCGGCTCAGAAGAGGAAGAATGGCTTGAGGAAGAAGACGGTAGTTACTGCACCTTTCTTTGTTTCATCTCTCCACCTCTGCTGTGAATGTATTGCGGGTCGGTGTGTCCTGTGCCTTTCCCTGGTTGGAAAATGGTTTTCTTTCATTCATTCTTCTCTGCTGCTTTTTGCACTCTCCCCATCCTGCTGTGCCGACCTGCTCTCGTTTCTGTGCTTTCTGTCTTCCATCCCAACACACCCGTGGGTTGCTGTCTTCTTTTCTTTTCTTCCTCTCTTGCTGTGGGACCACACGTCTCCCGAGGACCCGTGGGCTCTGACAGAACTCTCGTGGGGGTACTGCTCCCTCCAGTGGAAGAATGCTCCAACAGTGCCATGCATGAGATTTATGCTGTACAGTTTCGTTCTTTGCTGCATGGAGGAGAGCAACAGAAGTCAATTTCCTCCACTCTGGGGTCCCAGGGCACAGCTGGGGAGGGAACGAGGGGCAAAACCAGGAGGGGGCTCTGAGTCCTTGGATTTTATTCCCCCTCATCCATGCCTTACCTTTGGGTAAGGGCCTGAGCAAAGCCCTTTGGTTTCTGCTTCTTTCTCCCATAGCTCCCTCTCCTCCAGGTCTCCTGGGCTCAGTGCCACAGTTGTCCCATTCTGGGGGGCTGTAGGGAGCCAGCAGGAGCTGCAGCCATCCCACTGACACTGTCCTTATTGCACAGGTCAGGAGGACCAGGTAGACGAGGAGGAAGAGGAGACAGAGGAAACCACAGCAGAAGGTGTGTGCTCTGTGTCCCCACGCTGTCACACCTGCTGGCCACAGTGCAGATGTAAGGGACATGTAGTGGTCCTCAGCTGTGGATGCTCTGGTCACGCTTTCCCCTTGCTTTTGAGACAGAACAAGAAGATGAAACAAAAGCAGCAGGAGAAGGTAAAGCAGGAGTGGAGGAAGGACACTTTTTGGCCATTTCAGTCTCCCACAGTGCTGCCTCCTTGCCATGGGGTTTTCAATGTTGAATTTTGAACTCAGCCGCTGCTGAAAGGAGACAATCTGCAGTAAATTGGGCAGAGCTGCCTTGGCCCCATCCCTAGCAGGGCAGGGGCAGCAGGAGATCTGCAGGAGGGATGTATTCATGCTGCTTAGGTAAGAAATTCACCCCAGGAAATGGAAAAGAAGGCAGTGCTGGTGCCTTCCCAGCCTGAGCTCCTGCAAAGCTCATCTTTGGAGAGGACCCAGGGTTCTCCCCATCCTGGGGGTGAGGGGCCTGCCCTCCCCTTGTCCATCCTGGTGTGGTGGGGACAAACACAGTGCTGGGGCAGCCTCACGGCCCTCCAGGGCCAACACATCCCATGTTCCACAGGTGGTGAGGGGGACCGGGAGCAGGAGCCCGGGGAAGGTGAGGCATCCATCCCTGTTCCTCTTCGGGGTAGGAGGCACTGTCCCTTCACAGTACCCTGAATGCCTGGAGCATCAATGCACGTCTCAGATGCTGGCACACAGATGGACACCTCACTGCACTGCTTTGGTGGAGGATGATGTGCCTGCACTGCTGGGAGGAAGGGGTGGTTGGGTTTCATGGGGTCAAAGTATGCCACTAACAATGCCTTTCTCTCCTGTTCCTGGGGACCCGCAGGTGAATCAAAGCCCAGACCCAAGTAAGTGTTGGTGCATTTTCTTTGGTGCATTGAATTAGGAGCTGTCCCTCTATGGCTCTCACTGCAGCTTAGTGCCACAGCGAGATCCATAAGGAACGTGGGACAGCAAAGCCCTAAAAGCATGAAAACAGGGCAGGGACTGCGACATGGAGAGAAGGGAGAAAAACAGAGAGAGAAACGTGGGACTCTTCCCCGTCCTCCACAAGCACTCATTGCTGGGGGCTGTGGGGCTCAGGCAGAGCAGTGCATGGGTGGGAGACCTGCCCCATCCCAGCTACCCACTGAGCTCCCAACCTCCCACTCACCTTTCAGGCCCTTCATGCCCAACCTGGTGCCTCCCAAAATCCCTGATGGTGAGCGCCTGGATTTTGATGTGAGTGCATCTAACAGCAGTATTGTGGTGTTGCTGTGTCCAGCAGCACAGAGGGCTTCACTGCTATGAGCACAGCCATCATCTTCATTTCTGTCTGGTGCAGGACATCCACCGCAAGCGCATGGAGAAGGACCTGAATGAGCTGCAGGCCCTCATTGAAGCCCATTTTGAGAGCAGGAAGAAGGAGGAAGAGGAGCTCATCTCCCTCAAAGACAGGATTGTACGTGGGCAGCCCATCCCCTTTGTGGGCAAACAGCCCCAGCACTCCCTGCAACAGCAAGACCCAAGATTCTCATGTCCCTGCCAGAGAATGACTGGGATTTGAGCCAAATTTGGTGCTCAAGGGTTGGGAATCTGCTGTAATACCCATCCCATACGGAGATGTGGGAGCAGCAGACCTGTCCCTGGGGCTCTTGGGGTATTAGAGATGTCGAGGGACAAAGGGAATGTCCTGGGACATCCCAGCCATGGTCCTCTCCCTCTGCAGGAGCAGCGGAGGGCAGAGAGGGCAGAGCAGCAGCGCATCCGCAGCGAGAGGGAGAAGGAACGCCAGGCCCGCATGGCTGTGAGCATCATTGGGGCTGGGGGCTCCCTGCAGCACATGGCCCACCTCCTCCTCCCCCCCCACACAAACCCATCCGTGGGGCACGCAGGAGCACGAGCTGTGCACGTTGGTCCACAAGGTCTGCACTCCTGACCCACTTCTATCCCTGGCAGGAGGAGAGGGCTCGCAAAGAGGAAGAGGAGGCACGGAAGAAGGCTGAGGAAGAAGCTCGGAAAAAGAAAGCTTTCTCCAACATGCTGCACTTTGGAGGTTACATGCAGAAGGTGTGAAGCTGCACACGGGGTTGCAGCAAAGCGGCTGGTGCTTCTGGGGTGGGGGGGCTGGACCACAAGCTGGTCCCACAGCATCTTGTGGTGCTACTGAGAGGGGTTCCTATAAGCAGAAGAGGACGGGATCGTACTGAGAGCATCCCAAAAGCAGAGGGTGTTGCTGGGAGGAGGGGCTGGGGATGAGAGCAGAGGCCAGGCGGGTTCCTTCCCTCTGATGGGCTCCAACGGTTTCTGCAGTCAGAGAAAAAGGGTGGCAAGAAGCAAACGGAGCGGGAGAAGAAGAAAAAGATCCTCAGCGAGCGGCGGAAGCCTCTGAACATCGACCACCTCAGCGAAGACAAGCTGAGGTAAGGATGCTGCAGGAGGGATGGACGGGGCTGTGCCACCTCCACGGCTGTGCCAGGCTGCGGGTGACAGCGGCGGCCATCAGAGGGAGCCACACTCACACACGTGGGACACGCGCGTCCCCACAGCGAGACACACACGTGTGACCGCCCAGCGCGGCCCCACTGGGCACGGAGCCTGCAGCACCCATGGGACGGATCCTGCCACGGAGGGGGTGGCATTGCTGCCCCATCCCTTTGCTGCTGCATCCCTCTTCCATGCTGACATCATCCACCTCTTCCCATAGGGACAAAGCCAAGGAGCTGTGGCAAACCATCCGTGACCTGGAGGCTGAGAAATTCGACTTGCAGGAGAAGTTCAAGCGGCAGAAGTACGAGGTGAGCTGCCGGCTCCTCTCTGCTGGCTTCTCTCTGGCTGGGTCTCCAGCTCTCGATATGGGAGAGTTGTGTGTTGGATGCACGCTGTGCTGCATCAGGAGAGACCCCTGCCCAGCTGGGCATGGGGCATCCCACCAAGCCTCGCCACCCACCTGCATTTCTCTTGCAGATCAACGTCCTCCGAAATCGCGTTAGTGACCACCAGAAGGTGTAAGTACCTGTAAGGGCTGAGCGCCCTTCCTCATCGCTCAGTTTCACCCCGTGTTTCTCCCAGCTGCCCCACGCCTCATCCTTACACACCTGCAGGGACCTCAGACTGTGCCACTGAGAAGCCCTCACTGGCCCCCAGGTTCCCCTGCCCCCAAACAGACCCACATAGATCCCTGTGTCCTGCAGGTCACCCGTGCCTCCAGCTGTC